GCAGAAGATGGAGCACTCAAGATCAAAGGAGCAACCATCAAAGGAAGAGATGATTGGTATGGAATCATGAAGGTTTACAAGGACACAGGAAAATGGCTGAACGATGGTCAAGAACTAGCAGCATACCTTGAAGCAGAGAAAGAACGAGATAGAGAAGAGAGTAGAGGAGAGAATGCGTGCCAAGGAAGAAGAAGCATGGAAAAGCACTCCTGGCAGCTATGCCGGGCACGATGACGATGACAACTGGGACTGGGATGGTCCCCAGTGGTCCAACGAGCAGAAAGAGCTCAACGCAGACGTAGGAAGTACTCTAGCAACCTTTTTAGCACTCAGGCTCTAAGAAGCAGAGTGCAGTGTCAAAGAAAGGGAAGCACCAAGCTAGGTAAACGACCCAAAAGACTTCAAGCACATGGGAGACGAATGTCCCTAGCAGTTTCCAATGGTGCATGTTCAGAAAGCCCTTTCAAAGTTTCAAGCATCCCAAGTACAGCGCCTCAGAAGTAACAAAACTTTTGCAGAAATCTCTGAGGCGGGGTGTTCGTTTGTATAGTAATCATGGAGTGCCCAAGTAGCTACAGTTTGACTTGAGCATTTGCAGTCATGAAAGCATGATTGAATGCATAGGCTCAAGCAGGACCGACCCCTGACTAGCAGGTCCAGCGCAGAAGAAAAGTTACCTTGTTAGCACTTTGGTTTTGTAGTTGAGTTTGAGAGAAAGGAGCATGGCTCAATTGGCCATGATTTCGAACAACCTCAGTGCCCTCTCAGTCATGCCTTTCACTCCGCAGGTTGGAGAGTTTTGCAGCCCATTGATTTCCTGATTGATGCAGCGTTTGATGTTACATGTACTGAAGTTCAGCAAGCCATTTGTAAAGTCCTTCCCGAATGCCACCTTGTTTCAGCAGCCATTCATTGTTCCAAAAAATCCCGTATCCGTAAGATCAAGCTTGCAGGTGGCCGTGGGCCGAGACCATTGCGCTCCACTCAGTTTCCGCGAGGGTTGCCTCAGCTTGCGCCGCTTGAGTCCTAGAGAGTTGAAGCAGACAATGAGTGTTCGGATTTCTTGTTGGCAGTGCAGCAAGTGCTTGCTGAAAATGGGAGGGGGGCCTTCGAGAGAACCCTGGCAACTCCCTTCACTGGGAGGACCCAGTTGAGCAGCTCCTTTCCCGGTCCGGGATTGGTTCGACTTTCACTATTATGCTTGTGTTTTCCTTGCCCCCCGCAAGAAGTTCCATCTGATTCGCCACAACCTCAAGCATATGAAACAGCTGTCTGGCTGCATCGGGATCTTCCGGTATGCGTGGGGGAGATCCTCACCAGAGGTGTGCACATCACAAGGCCAATCGCCCGGGCCCACTCCACGGGACTACAGGGCAGACGCCAGGGCCTGAACGTGATAGCAAGGCTGGAGCGCGGAACAGAACTGCAGTTTGTTGCAATCCGAACTGAACTCGCTCTGGCGAGAGGAAAGGGCATCATCGACGCAGCGTTTCTTCCCGGTGGATTGGGTGATGACAAAACGCCGAATCAAGCGGAAGGAGCGCGACTGCCCCAGAAGTTCTTCCCAGCCCTGACTGGGGTGGCAAAAACCAAGCTCTTCATCCTTGTCACCTGCCTCCAGCGCAACTTGAGAATCAACGGTTTCACGGAGTTTGGGCGGGAGTTGGCAGGCATCAGCTCTCCCCTCTTGCAGCGCTTCCGCCAAGGTGCACAGTGACCCAGATTTGGAGGACCACACTCCACAGGGGTGGCAGAAGCCAACTGCAGGGAAACCTTGACACAAGCCCTGGACAAACGTGGTGTCGGGCCAGGCAAGAGAACAACCAGCACCGCCAACAAAGCAAGGTGAACGTTGGGGTTGACAGCTGCAACATCCGGACGCTGCCGTGCACGGGCCATCTCACTAACTGGACCAAGCCTGCGGGCCAACTCCTCGAAGATCCGCCATGCGGTCGGCTGCGAACCTGACATCGTCATCCGTGGGGATTCCCAATCAAGGGGGGTCCCGTGACGCTGCACGAACAAGGAGCGGGAGAAATGCTCGTCTGAGGTACATCCAAAAGGAACGACTGTGGAGGCAGCGCGGTGCGCTTCGTGTTCGCAGTTGATTGTTCGGCAGCGCCCGCACGCTACCCTGCACAGTGGGCCAGCACTAGAACGGTTCGTGGTGTCCAGCCACAACGAGGAAAGGCTGATACAATGGGGTCATTGACCAAGTCCTCGAGATGTGGCTGCTGGGCCGTGCGGCAACAGTGACGACTGGGAGAGAGGCTGGGCAACACCAGCTGGAATCTGCAGAACGGCGGCGGCCGCAAACAACACACAGCGTGCCACTCCGCGTCGCGATGGGGGACTACGCAAGATGGCCGGGGTGCGCTGAGAGCAGAACGCCCCCACCAGCGCGTTGCCATGGCAAAGCTCGTTGGGCTGGCAGTCACAGGCAAGACGCTTGCCCGCCAGCTCAGGCAACTGGTTGGCCAGTGTTGAGGTGGGAAACCAGTGCAGAAAGCGCAAGGCAACGTGAGCAGGAGAACCGTCACGACCGGCCACAAACGCGGAACGCCATTTGGTGGGAGGCTGCCTACGCGAAAAGTGGCTATCTGTCCAATGTAGATCACATCCTCCGGGAGGGGATGCTTGGGCTGGAAGACATCAGACACACAGATCCGAATGGGCGCCTTGTCCACGGACGGCAGGCCTAGGTAAGCAGCCATGCAACTCATGGCAAATGCCCACATCTGTAAAAGGGCATCGTGCGTCGCCTGTTTTGCATCATGGTCAGCCGCGGCCCGCTCCCAGAGCATCGTAGGTCGAGTCTTTGACCTTTGTGGCTATCCGTTTGCCAGCGATAAAAGGCAGACCCCTGCTGCATCTGGCGACTTCTTGGGCCTTCTCCATGACCTTTCCGCAGTCCGCGCCAGCGGAATCATCAAGGTTTGGGTGCGGCAGCGCCATATGGATACTGCCCAAGCATCAGGCTCACTTTGCCCTGGCCAAGCATCCAAGCTCTTTGGCTGCCTCACCTTTTTGGATCAGGGCGCCTTCGAGCGCGTGGCCAGGTCAGGACTCAATGCCATCAAGGATCGACTCCCAGGCCTTTGAAACGGTGCGTACCGTCCTTCGCCTGCGGCCTGAGCGCCTGGTCCCAGTCAAGCCTCAGTCAGCTCCCCGTGTCCTGGTTGCCAGCGATGCAGCCCAGGACGGCTTCAGGGTGGGTTCAGGAGCGTTCCTCCTCCTTACACCTCGCCATCAAAGGCTAGGCGCTGTGGTCATCATCGATGACAATGTGTTCGATTCTCTGGGACTTTCAAGAGACAAAATTCGCCCAGCTCAAACTGCTGATGGTCCTCCAGTCCCTCATCACGTTCCCCGCTGCCTTCAGGGGCACCACAGGAGTCTATTTCATAGACAACATCGCAGTGCTTATGGCGTTGGTCAAAGAGCGCTCCGATAGCCCGGAACTCGACGCCATTGCACAGTCGATCCACTTGCTCCTGTTTTGCCTGCACTGCTCTTTGTGGTTCGAATGGATCCCCTCCAAGAGTAACTGGAGCGATTCCATCAGCCGTCAGGGATTGGATGACCCTTGGTTCGCTGCCCACAACTTTCGTGTGCACGTCAGTTCTGTGCCAGTATTTTTATGGAGCTTCAGTCTCAGCATTCGGACCCGCATTTTTCAGTTCTTGAGTTGATCCTCCTCGCCTTAGTGCATTGGGGACTAGTGCTTCGGGATGTCGTCTCCCCTGGACAGCCTGAGCTGCGCCGGGGTGACCGGCTTCCTGTGATCAGGAACCTCGAGCCGAGGGAAAAACCATTGCGCTATGGGCTGGGCTCATGTGACGAGTGAGTTTGCATGTCAGGTACAATGTGGTTTGATTTGAAACATTTCGATCCAGAACCAAGCTCAAGCCCATGCAGGCTTATCACATGTTTCCTCGAAATCGAGCTGCAGGGTAGAGCGTTCTTCTGTTTTGGGACAGCAACTACCACCCCAAGAATTTAGAAAAACGCATGATTTACCAAAATGTGTGCAGCTGTTTTGGCCCAAGCGGTGGATTGTCAAGGCGGTCTTGCATGTTAATGCCCGCAATGACCAAACTTCTCCTACCTGCTATGGTTTCGCTGGTGCCGCTGTGCTTCATCGCACCTGAATCACCACAGCCCCGCTTCCAGGTGAGAGTTTTCAAAAGAGCAGGTTTGCGCTTCAATTTGGTTTAGGGCCTAGGGTTTAGCGGTTTAGCGTGTGTAGGCAAGGCAGTGTTTGGTTCACCTTAGTCAAGAGCCCCCGGCTTATGGAACCCTCCAACCCCCAAAGTCCTCGGCACCAAATCACACTAATCAATAGTCATGGTAACCTTACCCAGACCAAAGCCCTTTGAGCCCTAAGCCGATGGAAATGCCCTACACCCAAAAAACCCTACGCGTCAGGTGGGTCAGCAGCGACATCTGCGAGCGCAACGGGGCCCAAGTCGCAGTGCACCGGCACTGGCACCGGCAGCCGTGTGCCTCAGCATAGCCACAGGAGCCCCTTGACTCAGGAAAAACAGGGTATTTCGGGGGATATTGGGGAATATAGGGGGTATGCAGGGGATATATAGAGATATATGCGATTTGGGGTTTAGGGTTTCGGGGTGAACTGCTAGGTAGAAGAGCCGTGGCGTAGCATACTAAGCCATGTCTTTTGTGTGTTTTTTGGTTCCCTTGCATGGCACATCTACAGAATTTGTCATATAGGGGACAAACGTTATGGTTCCGCAATGTTCAACGTGCCAGCTGTTTAAAGATGGCAGTGCAGCTGTCATGCATTGAGGGCCGAGGCCAAAAGGGTCGACTTGAGCTGACAACGCAGATGGATCAATGGCAAGAATAACTAGAGTAACAAAAGTAACAATCATCGGTTTGAACAACAATACATTGAATACTAAGTGCAGGAATAATCAGAAGTTTTTACAGCAAAAGCCAGGGTAACACTCATGACAATAACACAACCAAAAAGAGGCCATGGTGTGCGCTGAGCGAGCCTGGAGAGCACAGAGAAGGTCCCGGCCAAAGCCCCACCACGATGAGAGTGCAATGTTGCAACTCGTTGGAGACATGCACGGCTTACTTTGTTGGGAGGGAATTTTAAATACAGGGAATATCGGGGTTGCATTGCCGTATTCCCTGCTAGACACCAGTAAGTCAGGGGTTAAGGTTGATTGCAGCTGATCGGAGTAGGTAACTTGTAGCTCTGTGGGTCCACATAATTTCATACCACTACTTGGAGGATGAGAGGGAAACTTAGTAAGAGGGTTAACAAACCCTATATCCCTATAACCCATATAGAAACCTTGATTATCCCTATTATGAACCTCTGTACTGAGGTTCCCTGACCCTCCAAGTAATCAGGGGCCTAAAAGGTGGGATGAAGGTAGGTGGGGTAAAGGAAATACAATATAGTAGAATCTGCAATCCTTTAACCCACCTAGCTTTATCCCACGATTTGAGCCCCTTGAAGTAAGCCGTTAACCAAGGTTAACGTATTTTAGACCAGGGAACTCAGCGCCTCGGAATTTTCTATTAAGCAAGCATCCTGCCTTGGAACGCTGTTACAAGAATAGAAGAGGGGTGTCGTGTAGCAAAATTTCGGGTTTAGAGTTGAGGGTTTAGCAGTTTAGCATTTGGGGTTTGGGGTTTAGGGTTTGGGGTTTGGGGTTTAGGGTTTGGGGTTTAGGGTTTGGGGTTTAGGGTTTGGGGTTTAGGGTTTGGGGTTTAGGGTCTAGGCTTTGAGGTTTAGGGTTTAGGGAGCAGAAGTTACCGAAACTCAAGAGCATTTGTATGTGCCACGAGGCCATGATTTTTTGAGTGTTAAGTAATGGCCACCATGAGATAGATACCATCGAAATCCGCACTGTTGAGTATCCCCATCACACAGTGTAGCTCTTCTGAAGCTTCATAAAACTGAAAGTCAAGGTAGATTTCTAGCATCGACGCACGAATCCCCATATTCACCAGGCAAACATCCACATTCAATCCTGCCCTAAACCCCAAACTCTCTGTTAGAACAACCGCCCCGAAATTATCGAAGACTAAACCCTAAACCCTAAACCCCTAAACCCTAAACCCCTAAACCCTAAACCCCTAAACCCTAAACCCTAAACCCTAAACCCCAAATGCTAAACTGTGTGATGCCCAAGGATGGCGGAAGCCCAAAGGTTACGAGACGAAGCTGGGAAGCTGCAGCTGGAACAGGCAGGGGTTTAGGGTTTAGGGTTCAGAATTCAGGGTTTAGTTTAGGGTTTAGGGTTTAGGGTTTAGGGTTTAGGGTTTAGGGTTTAGGGTGTAGGGTTTAGGGTTTGGTTTGTAGGGTTTATAGTCCACTTTAAATACATGGAATATGTGTTTGGGTATATTATAGTACGATCGCCATATACCCCATATTCTATCTACTTAAGGGGGACGATAGGGTTTTAGTTTGTAGGGTTTAGGGTCAGGCAGGTGATAGACTTCAGTGTTTACCTGGACCCCATAGACCATTCCATTTTATGGATAGAAGCCCAAAAGCTTGGAATCACAATGCAGAAGAGATGTGTTCTGTAGGGCCTTGGCGGGTTTTTATGTTGAGTTTTCCGGGAGGTCATATGGTCATCTTTCGGCAAGATTGGATAGGGGTTTCTCAAGAAGGGGGCTCTGCAGGACGAGATGCAGCGGTAGGTCTGAAAGATGTAAATGGGTCATCTTGAGAAAGGTTCAGAGATTGCTACCTTTTTAGCTAGAGATTGCTACATTTTCAGCTATCATACGTCACCTTACGCGTTTGGTACCAAAAAAAGGGCCAAGTTGAGACAGCCATCCAGGTGCAATGTCAGCAAGTGCATAGCTTGCTGATGAGTGAGGCAGCGTCCATGTGCAGCTTGCTTCATACCGCTTGGAGGGTCAGCTGGACGTAGCAAGCATACGTATCATGACCCAAATTATTCCCGTAACCTACTTGACCCTCTAAGCGTTGTGGGCCTGATGCGGAGCAGGGCATGCTGGCAGGATCAAGCCAAGCAAGCGTTGAAGGACCGCAAATTGGATTTGATCGCAGGCTTCTTGACTGCATGTCAGCCACACGTTTCATCACCTCGGCTTTTGGCTGCCCCAACTCCTTACACGAGGACCTTATAACCATCATATGACTACAATGGGGTCCCAGTTTTAAAGGTCGGGATTATTAAAATGCTCTTATTGCTGGCTTACGAGAGATCACCGCGCGAGGTTGCGGGGCAGAGCATCAGCTCGAATTCTGCTTTCAACCAGTCCCTCGCTTTGCACTTTATATAGGGGTTGTCGAGGGGTATCTAGGGACGTATATATACGTATACACATATAAAGGGTTATGTAGGAGAGAGAGAGAGAGAGAGAGAGATAGATAGATAGATAGATAGATAGATATATATGTATTTATGTATGTATATATAGATATATCTATTCAAAGAGGAAACAAATGCAACCATTTTTGCAAGGCCCATCAAGCTTCCAGGAACCCATGCAGATCCTGTAGCGTCCTTTACAGGACCACGTAAAACCATGAAAGCTTTTGAGTTGGGTTTAGGGTTTAGGTCTAGGGTGTAAGCATTGCAAAGCAAATCCTAAAGCAGCGTAACCCGTGAATGGCCATCAAGCATGGAACATTGAAAAGCCGTCTGGACAAAAAGGTGCGCCTCGTAAAGCAATCGTTCAACCTGATAAACCGCCAAAACCGATACAAACCCTTAAACCCTAAACCATCGTAAAAGGCGTCTCGGCTTCAGGTTTGCAAGTGCACGCCCAGGTTTTTTAGTTTTTGGTTGAGGTGAAGCCTTGACCACACCGCGCCATGGCAGACCAGTATGAGATGCCCCAAAACTGGGGAGGACAGGC